CAGTAATTGTGGAGTCGGTTTGACGGTGTGACTAAGGAATGAAAATACCTTCTCCCTCCTTCGTTTTAGAAGTGTCAAGTCAAGTCATACTAGATTATATGAAAAACTACAATCTCAGTGGCATATCACTGTTGCCTCTACCCCTATTTTTTTTCTTCATATGTTTGCTTTTCATTTCATTCTTGCATGGTATTAGAATAACTATACCCCTAGGTGCTTCATTTATCATTATGGAGGTATATCAACATCATGACAGGACTAAGATAAATAGGCCCTTTGAACCGTGGTGTAAGGAAAGAAAAGGACGTAAAACCGTTGCAAGGGCATACTCGAATGCATAATGATAGCACCGTTAACTCCCAGTACGTTGATTTGCAGTAGGCCATTTTCGTAATGTTATCAAATTTAATGTATTTCTGGGAGTAAAATGCCTCGTTACGATTTATTCAATTCACCTGTTACGATTAATTGTATTTCAATAGTCAGAATGCAAATGGCATATATTAGTTGTTGCTAGGTAGGACAAACATTATAGCTAGCTTAACCGATCTAACAACACTTAATGTTTTCAATTTGTATTCTGATTAGTGAAATACAATTATTTGTAACAGGTGAATGAATAGTTTGTAACGAGGCACTTAACAAAGATACGTGCAATAAATTTGATTACAATACAAAACTAATCTATTGCACTCATTCGCAACAGACCTGTTTACTAATGTAACTCTCCCTAACCATTTCATTTACATGCTATGAATAATGGTTCCTCTGTGGATGGAGTCGACTTTGCATACATTAGTTGTTGTTATATCGGGATAGTCTCTAGCGAGGTCACTAATTGTCAAGATAAATTTTCCTCAAAGCGTATGCAGTAAACGGGTCTCATATTAAAGATCTAACCTATCCATCTTGACATGCCATTTAGGTAATGTAACCAAATTTATGCATCTGCCTTTGTGAAGCACCTCGACACGAACTATTTCAATCACCTGTTACGAAATTGTTACGAAATTGCCTAAATTCGTTGTTGCTAGAAAGGACAACCATTATGACTTGCCGTACCTAACAACAGGTAATATTATGCAACCTTTCATTCTGGCTATTGTATTATATACAATTATTCGTAACAGGTGAATAAAATAATCCGTATCGAGGCACTTAACTAGGAATGTAGTTACATTACGAAAATTGCCTCTTTCTCTGTTCCAAGACGTTTAGATTTTGTCGAGACTTTACCAAAACATAAAAGATGCCCAATTTTTAAACGATTGCAGGTGGTTTACCATGCCTTTTAAGAGTAAAAGAGACATAGAAAAATTACATATATTAAAAAAATATACCAAACAGCTCGATTTGAATCCTATACAAAGAAACTTAGCAAAATGAAAACAATTCACCTCTAGACAATGTGTATGCTTGATTATTTATTTTTGGTTAGTTCAGTTTAGACTGTACAAAATCTCCTTTTTTCCTCCAAATGTAAATGGTACCCCACAGTGCTTTCTAGATAGTTAGACTACTTGCTACAGGTATGTACGTACAAATTTTGAACATTGATATAAATTGAACATCCAATGGGTGGAGAAATGTACGGGCTATGTGCTTTGAACCGCGTAAATAAGAAATAAACGGCATGATATTAGTCTCAACATAGAAATAAAAGAAGATAAAGAAAGTGAATACTACTCACTATTGGTGTATAATGGTTCTTCAACTGCAGAGAACTGTGTATGGGAAGTATAAATAAACGAGTTCGTGCTCATTTCAACCTTTAGAATCAGGTCAACGAACTAACAAGGTGACATGCGTGACTGGCAAAAAAACTGCTCATCTTCAAAGTCAGCCATAGTTCTATAAAAATGGGCAATTTCTTAACCTAATCAGAAGTAATGAATTGAATTTGAAATTTTTGAAAAAATGCAATATAATAGGCCCTAGTTATATATTGCCCTGTTTGGGATCTTAAGCACGGCTGGATCATCACGTGTCGTGCCTTATCATAGTTATAACAGGTCTAATACAATTTCGGGAGGAGATCCGATCGCACACAGTCCCATGATTTAAAGAGCAGATTGAGTTCTGATAAAGGTGAACACGTTTTGTCTAAGTCTTTTTACTCATGTTTGGCAAAATAGCATGAAGAGGATTTCTATCGTGGTGCTCTATATAACACGACTAGGAATATGTTACAGTCATCTTTGCACATATTCATGTTGCCGTATTTCGTGCGATTCTATCATTGTAGATTCAATTTTTCATTGTTTGTTATTTAAGCAACATTTCGTCAATGCGTTATGATTTCGTTGGTCGAAATCTTCATAATGCACTATTTTTTACTACATAATCAATTCACAATGACGTCACATGACCATTTTATACTAACATTCTTTTAATAAAAATTCAATCGGTACTATAACTTTGTACACCTTATGTTTATTCAAAGGTATAAATGAATTGTACTAATATAATGAATTGAACAACTTGTTTCCTACAATGTGTGAATTCTGATTGCATTATGTAATTTTTTTGCAATGTGTTTTGGTCTGATTCAGATCTTGTTATACCAATACCGCGAAAATACTAGCAGTATTAAACTTTCAAAACGCAGAAAGGACGCTGAAATCGAAATAAATTCCAATTATGAAACCGAAAAGCTGATAAGAAACAGGGGGATGACGTAATGGTAATTTCCTTTATGGTTTCGAGATAGCAAGCCGATTTGCCAAATGAATTTTCGCTGAACAACGAATATCATGAATACCCCTTGTAGACAGCATGACAATGGATTGTATAAACTTACGTCTTGATGTGTAGAACTACATTTACCTAATTCATCCCATCAGTTACAAAGCACAAATATCAGCTAAAGTTTATTTCCATCAATCGCGAGCAAGTTCACATGATTAACGAATGCTCACGTAATACGGTATAACGCACGCGTTGGTCTTAAAACATCACCGAATCGTACGCTCGATTTCTTAGCTTCAATTTTGTTTTCAATTAACTGTATTCGTTATGAGCACCTTGCATTACTCCATCATTCTCTTTGAGGTCATTAGCGCGTTCATGTTTGAAACTGAACACTGTGGCCCGAATTCACAAAGGAGGTTTGTCGACAATTTTCGTACGTAATATGACGCGTTTTTACGCGTTTTTTACAAACCTGGTTTGTAAAAAACAAAAGGAGGTTTGTCGACAAACCTCCTTTGTAAATTCGGACCATTGAGGTGCAACTGCATATCCAAACCCTCTGCCTGTACTATTAATACACTGAATTTGTGTCATAAAATCCCTATTAAATCTGTCTATAGGGGGATTCCTTTTAATATTATGAATACCACAAGGACATCATTTTTTCCCCGCCCCTCTCACGATTATATACATCTCTCTCTCTCTTTTTAATTTTTTTATATCTCCCTTTTAATACTTTCGTTCCTCCGTACCTCCTTCCTCACACATTGGATTTCTCTTCTTTGTCAATAGACACTTCTTTTCTGATCAGATCTGTAGATATCAAGTTGTACATAATTCGGCAATTTTTCTTTAGAGATTATGAAACTGCAGACCCCACAGTACACCCCTCCCAAAAAGTGAGATTAACATATTAGATATTCATTCACAATGAATAATGTTCAATAAACAATTGAAATAAAGGAATCAACAGTCTAAAATGTTTATACATTTCTTTTAAAATGTATTTAAAAAAATGTGCAAGAGAAAGAAGACATCATTGCATATGATATATTGACCATGACAAATGTTTATATCTGTTCCCAAAGTTTAAAATTGTCTCTGGACACTTCATTAGCTTTGTTCATGTCAAGCAATATAAAACAATACCCGCTTTTTGTACACTTCTGCTGACCTATTTAAATTTTTCTTATATTTAAAATTGAAAAGATTCTTCATAAGAATGGCTAATAACATCATTGTAAAATATGCTGTGAGCCATTATTATTGAGTTTTTTTTTAAATTCCTCCAAATCTGTTTATTGTTTTGTCACCTGATTATGTAACACTATGAACATGACAGACAAAGCAAGCGGACAAAATATAATATACAGTTCCTCAGGTAGACAAAGGAACATCCCTTCACTGCTATTATGTAAAAAGGTGAATATGCATGTGACACCTGTTCTAAACATGTTTACATAATAGCAGTGAAGGGGTGTTCCTTTGTCTACCTGAGGAACTGTATATTTTGTCCGCTTTCATTGTCAGTCATGCTCATAGTGTAATAACCTCACAACCTTTTAACACAACCATTTCTAAATCTTTTTGCGTGTATCCGTTTAAGTTTTCTCGATATTCTGTTATACAAGCTGATGCAAGTTGCACATAATTCAGAATTATTTTAGAGATCATAAAACTACAGACCCCAAAGCACGCCCCTCCCAAAAAGTGAGAATGAACCTATCAATATTCACCCTAAATAATGTTTGAAGAATTTATTAAAGGTACCATCAGTCTAAGATGTTTATATATTTCTATCAAAATGTAACTCAGCAAAATATATACAAAATAAAAAGGACATCATTGCATATGATATATTGATCATGACAAATGTTTATATCTGTTCCCAAAGTTTAAATTGTCTCTGGACACTTCATTAGCTTTGTTCATGTCAAGCAATATGAAACAATACCCGTTTTTTGTATCCTAATGCCGACCTATTTACTTTTTTCTTGTATTTAAAGTTGAAAACATTTTTATAAGAAATATTAATAATTGTCATAATTTTGAAATATGTAGTGAGACATTATATTTTGAGCTTTTTCTCAATTCCTCCATCTGTTTAATGTTACGTCACCTAATTATAAAACCTCAAGCCCTTCTAACACAGCCATTTCTAACGCCAATTTCGTGCATCCGTTTATAAAGTTGTCTCGATATTCTGTGATGATAATGTACAACATTACCAAAACCGGTGAAGTAAGAAGAAAAAGGGGGAAAAAAGAAAAAAAAAGAAAAAAGAAAGAAAGATAAAATGATAGAAGAAAAGATAGATTGAAAGAAAGACAGAAAGATAAGAAGAAGAAAGTTAAAAAGTCATTATCAATTGGGTAATTATGAGCTACAAATATTTGGTTGAACACATAACATCAATTCTACAATGACATATTTTGTTTGTAGTCAAGACTCCTTTTAGGGCCTTATTTCCTTGTATACATAGAGTTAGCATCAAATTGGAGATTATGTGACGGTATGAATGACTAAAGATTTCATAAATGGGCACTCATGCTACCAAAAATGAGATTTCCACTGGTATTCTTACCTCTAAGTGTTGAAAAAACTCTTGAAGGTGATTTCATAAGTTGAATTTGGTTGAGATTCAGTATCCATAAAGAAGAAAAGAACTTAAACACTACATCTCAAAATCGTTCATAGGACGATTAACTCGCAGCTATAACCAGATTTAAAGTGTGTACGACAATGATATTACTGCTTCAAAGCTGGTCCAACGTTCGCTTCCAACCATTCACGTGCTTCATGGGTCATCAGGCGTAAAGGGTCCTTCAACTGATCCATGATGTTTTTACCGAAATACACGATCTTTCCATCACGGATAAATATCACCCGATCTGGGTGCGCTTTGAACATCCTGGAGAAGAGGTTGTCCATCTGGTCAACGACGAGGCGGAACTTTGAAGTATCGCTGACGTCATCAGTCATGCAGTCGTGTGTCTCGGCATCTATCTGGAGAAGATCTCTGAAAACATAAAACACACGTATCCATGCACATTTAATTCTTTCAGGATATGATCACTAAATAACAGATCTATGATATGCTTGCAGCTCTCCGTCAAACTATTTAACGTATACATATAAAAGGAAGAGAGAAACTTGCTAATACAAAAGACAGAAAAGGGGGAAGAACTCTGCTTTCTAATCACAATAATAGTTGAAAACTAACACCAATCGATATAATAATAAAGTTAATGATGCTAATGATGCAATGAGAATTCATATACGACTAGAACTATGTCAAGAACCAAATGTTATCAATAAGTATTGAATACGTTGGTTTTGAACTTGTCCACTTTGTCAACTTAAAACTTTTAGCGTATAGTTGCTAGTTGAATTTGCTACCGTGAGATGTGTTTTGGATAAGGCACCATTAATGGGACACATGGTCTGCTCTTACACATACATTTGGTATATCAAAACTTGTTATAAAATGATGACGTAGATCCTATTCAAATGAATGGCTGAAAGCGGACACGTGACCATGCATTTATTTAGCCTAACGCGAAATTTCGATAACTCCCAGTCATTATCCTATGGTAATGACTGGTCATTAGCGATACCTTTCGGAACCATTCGGTACCTTTGAAACAATCCAAACACCCTCGGCCAGGGGCGGCGATTTCTTTTCATGACCGGGGGGGGGGGGCAGAAAAAAAAATCCGCATCAGGCAAAGTGGAGCGTAAATTGGCGTGGGATCCAGGGGCAAAGGTGTCAAGGGGCGGAGCCTGATAAAAGGTCAGGGGTTTGGGGCATTTAATTACGGTCAGATGAGCATATTTTGATACCTTATTTGTGACACTGGCATGCAGGTCGCTTATTGGAGTGGGGTCCAGGGGCGGAGCCCCCAGAAGCTCAGGGGTTTTATGCATTAAATTACGATCAGATGAGCATCCAGGGGCCGCCTTAGGGCCCTTGGTGGGGTCCAGGGGGCAGAGCCCCTGGAAGCTCAGGCGTTTTATGCATTTAATTACGGTCAGATGAGCAACCAGGGGCCCACCTTAGGGCCCATGGTGGGGTCCAGGGGGCAGAGGCCGCGGAAGTTCAGGGAAAAATCATGCCTTTTCAACAACAATCACTGAAATCACTGGTATCGAATTAGAAATAAACCACATTTGAATTTCATTTGGGGGGAACTGCCCCCAAAGCCCCCCCCCCCCATCAGTACGCACGTGTAAGTGAGCATAGTGAATGTGACGGAATTGACTACCCCTTCACAAGTTTTGTTGTATTAAAAAAATCACATTCCAAAACTATAGTATAACAACAAGCAATAAACTTTTTCATACTTCAATTTTCTCCGTGTTTATTTGTAAATTTTGAAGGATATTATGCGAGGGAGCTACCGAGTGAGAAGATTTTTGCGTTTTTATTTGTCTAAACGCTGCACTCTTGGGCCCTCCAGAGCCTAAAAGTGTGTTGCAGTCTTTAGTCAGTATTTGCTATACATTTTTGTGTGCACTTTTTCAAATTTTGAGGGGGACGACCCCCCTAAACAAATTGAGGGCGGGAACGTGTCCCCCGTCCCCCCGGGATCGCCGCCCCCGCCTTCGGTTATCGCCTCGGGTGCGTTATACTGTTCCAAAGGTACCTTGTGTGGGTAATTCCTACTAATGCCCTCACTGCAGTGCATTATTGGTATATTATTGCCCTGAATCAAAAGTTATTGAGCCAAATCGTATTTCGTTGGTGATCATCATAAAAGGGTGAAAACAAACGCTCTGTACCAGTCCATAAAACCCAATCTTAAAGCCCCACTGCACTACTTGTAGCTTCTTGTTCCCTCTATATAGGAAACAATGCCTAAGCGGTGCCCGTGGGTCCCCCATGATCCTCTTTTTCTTATGTTAATTGACAGCTGAGTTGATGAGATAACCACCTGCCAGTGAACATGGCGGAACTATTCCAGAGGGGCTTTAATCCTAAATAATCAGATAAGCATTAACGGGTTTCGTTTAATTCTATATACAGAATGTTACTCATTACAATATCAATATCGTTAATTTACAGCGGAACAGTGTATTTTATGAAATATGATAATGTTCTTAGTCCCGGAGGCAATGTAAATGTGACTGCTACACGTACTTAGCTGCATCAATCCTCTCTTGAAGAGACTTGTGACGCTTCATGTAGCTAACATTGCTCCCCAGAGACCACACTCCTTCGGCATGAGCTTCGGCGAGGTAGACGGCTAGGAAATCGACCTGGGTTCGGTAGTCGCGAACAATACCTGCAAGCGTACCACCTATTACACAGGCCTATAAGACGACAATATTTTAAATAAATTCATATGAAGACAAATAAAAGAGAATCAATTCATAAATTCAACATTATAAAATAAAACAAAAGGAGGGGAGCAGGAGGAGGGGGAGAACGAGGAGGAGTGACAGGAGAAGGACGGGGACAGGGAGGGGAGGAGGAGGAGAGGAGGAGGGGAGGAGGGGAAGGAGGGGGAGGAGGGGGAGGAGGGGGAGGAGGAAGTGGAGGAGGGATAGGAGGAAGGGGGCATGATGAGGGGGGGGGGGGAGTAGGAGGGGAAGAAGAATAAAAGGAAGAAGAAGATGAAGAACAAGAAGAACAAGAAGAACAAGAAGAAGAAGACGAAGAAGAAGAAGACGAAGAAGAAGAAGCAGAAGAAGAAGAAGAAGAAGAAGAAGAAGAAGAAGAAAAAGAAGAAGTAGAAGAAGAAGATGAAGAAGAAGAAGAAGAAGAAGAAGAAGAAAAACGATGAAGAAGAAGAAGGAGAAGTAGAAGAAGAAAAAGAAGAAGGAGAAGACGGAGAAGAAACTTTATAACCTTATTACAGCCAGCCTTACTATTTTACATATACTCTTTTGTCGTGTATACAATTTACAATGATTTATTTGCTTTATATTTGTAAAACTGCAACAAAAATAAAAAAAAATCAAGCAGAACAACATAAATCGAATCAAATCAAAATAAACAAAGACAATAATTTCCCTTTCACAATCTGTCTAAATTTAGATGTTATTGTAAGGTCTGGAAAGCTGTATGTGGTACTATTCCCAGTAGTTTGCGACTTTGAGATAAAAGCAGTGAAGGTGGAAGTGGTGGTGATGGTGCGGAAATATGTGTAGTACAAAAAAAAGATGTACCGTATTCAAATGGTAAAAAAAAAATGTCAACATTATCCAGAAGAAAGCAAATCAAAGGCTTTATTTCCTTAGACAACTTAAGAAACTCCACATAGATAATACACTTCTTGTTCTGTTCTATAAATCAATCATTCAGTCTATCTTGACATTCAATCTCATTTGTTACTTTCGTAATGGAACACGTGCTAGCAAAAGGAAAACAGAAAGAATAAGGAAAATTGCTCAGCGCATCACCGGTTTGGAATTGCCCAGTTTAGAAAGTATATATGTTGATCGTACATTGCTGAAGATTACTCGTATTATGAAAGACCCGTCACATCCTTTGTTCCATAATTATAATTTCAACCGTTCAGGAATTCGCCTCTGCGTTCCCCGCACTAGGCGGGAACGCTTCAGACGCTCATTTGTACCAGATTCAACTCACATGTTCAACAGTATGGTAAAACGAGGGCAATCAATGTAGACACTGTACCCTTTTTATTTTATTGCTTTCCTCCATTCCTATACAAGTAGTCAGATCTTATTTTTAGATGAAACGCCATTGATGTTATGTTGTTATTATGTTTTATAATCTGTTTAATTTTGTACATTTCCTTGTAACACACAATTGTACCAGTGAACAATGAATTTCCATATTATGGACAATAAATCAATTCAATTCAAGTAATTAATTTTCATATATAGAAAAAGTACCAATGTATTTGATATCAATATCTCAATTTTCATCAAAAGTGGATTTAGCTCCTTTTGGAATTAAACTCTTCAAATCGTGATCTCACCCTAAGCGGAGGTCAGGAAGCTGATGAAGCCATGATCATCATAGGTCGGTCCTTGTTGATATGGAGATCCGAAAGACCTACGGTCTTACCGACTAGGGAGACCAGATTGAGGTTCGGCATTCCACTACCAATGTCAACCACGCTTGGTGCCGGTAAATCGACATAAGGATCCTGAATATACGCCCCCAGTTTCAACACCTAACATTAAAGACAAAAGAAACCATGATAATTATGTGAAAATAACCAACTACTAGCGTACTGACGTGTGTGTGTGGGTGTGAGTTTCTTTGTGAGATTCTTTCTTGAGAAAGTAATACCTATGTACTCATCATTTTTATGTTTAGATATGGTTAGAGGACGCAAAGTCCTTCGTAAATCAACCTGGAGTTGGACAAATTCTTTATCATTGTGATCCTTCTATTCAAATGTGCAAAAAAAAAATTTTTTACGTGATCTGAACTTGTTTTTTTTAAAGGATATACAATTAAGGTATTTTTTGAAAGTCTTTGCGATCATGTTAAGTACTACATATCATTTACCTCTGGGCAGTCATGGTATGCTAGGAACATAACGTGGATAATATCAGTGATCTTGCCAGGTCCAAACATTGGTTTCAAGTGCTCAAATCCACAGTGTTCCAGTGCTAGATAGCTTGCATCTAGCCAAACACTCTGGGCAGAACAAATAAGGAGAGAAAGGTATGAGCGAAATAAATTTGCAGGGTACTTTATAAGGCAAATAACAGCTGAAACGGGTTTATATAAACTAGTGATTTTAAACATGCTATCTCTTGAAATAACCGCCAGAGTCTAAAACAAAATAATGATGCAATTAAAATAAGCAACGATATGCTAAACTGGCAAAAGAAAATGCTAATTCATTGGTCAGTTTTGAGGTGTGTGCAATAAAATACAAATATATCTGCTATGTGCTTAAAATAGAATTCATAACAGCCATAATTTAGAGTTCTAAAGTCGATTGTTACTTTGTCTCATTACTCCTTTATGCTAGTTTGCCCTTTTTATCCATATTTGTATTGTTTAATGAAGTCTCATCTTTCGCAGTGATCTGGTCTGTACATTTTTCTCTATACCTCTCTATATTTGAAGAGTTTCATTCCAAAAGGAGCTAAATCCACTTTGGGTACTTCTGAGTAAATCGCCTTTTTTTTATTTCTCCACTTTCCCTTTAGCCATGGACCTTAATGTTGTGAAATATTTTAAAGGTGTCACCCTGGACCAATAATATATGATAAGAAAAAATCTACCAGTTTTTCCTGATTTTTACTAAATTTTTAGATTTTTTTTTCTCGTGGATTTAGCTCCTTTTGGAATGAAACATGATATTGTACCTGAAAAATTTCATATTTTCTCAATAAAGTCACTGAAATTAATTCAAATTTAGTAGCAAACCTTTCCTTTTAAATTATAATAGTAAAATCACAACTAAAAAAACATTTTGAAAAGAGATTAAACAACATATCACATTTTCATTCCAAAAGGAGCTAAATCCGTTTCATTCAAAAAGGAGCTAAATCCATGTTTCATTCCAAAAGGAGCTAAATCCACAAAATCTAAAAAATGCAGTAAAAATCAGAAATAACTAGTAGATTTGTTTTCTGTCATATATTATTGGTCCAGGGCGACACCTTTAACATATATAACAACATGAAGGTACATTGCTAAAGGGAAAGTGGAGAAATAAAAAAGGTGATTTACTCAGAAGTACCCAAAGTGGATTTAGCTCCTTTTGGAATGAAACATGATATTGTACCTAATTTTTTTCATACTTCCTGGTAAAATTTTCGAACGTGATATAGTGCGTTTTGTCCCCATGTAGGAAATCATTATTTTAAGACAAATAACTCAATTTTGATAAAATATGGATTTAGCTCCTTTTGGAATCAAGCCCTTCATTTATCAAACAATGTCTCTATACTTTAATCAAGATCCATTATAATATTCTTATCTTGGTTCTCCTATCGGCTGTGAAAGAAGAACATATGGAGATCATAATGTTTTCAATCGGCCAAATACCTGCACTTTTTCGATGACATCTGGCTTAGTAAAGTCCAACCTTTCATTAAACATTTGTTGAATCTCATCCGAAAAGGCAATTTTATTGTACTCCTCGAAAACCTTGATGGCCTGCGCTGGTTCACCAAAAACTTTTGTTATCTTGGGAAATCCAGCATCTTCAGAAGATGGTATGTTTGGTACACCTTCTGCAGGCCCTGTGGGCCATTTAGGGTCCTCCATCTTCAGCTTCCTCAAATTGAATATCAGAAGAAAAAATTGTGAACTGATTATATCGCAATCTAAGTTGAAATAATTCACCACTTTTTGTAGTTCAGGATTCTGTTGGTACCCAAGCTTTTGCTCGTGTCATTAAAAAGCCTAATTCGTTAAAAGGCAAGACAGAAGCAACGGCAACAACAAGAAAATACAAACATTAAACACACAAACAAACGACAAGAGCAGCAGCCTCGACGCAACAGTTTAGAGTAGTCACTAGTCTCACTATGTATATGACGGACTAAGAAAGACGACAAAATTATACAGTTCCTCATTCTACCCTCAACAATTGCTGTTGTAGACAAGGAACATCCCTTCACTGCTATTATGTAAAAATGTGTAGAACAGGTGTCACATGCATATTCACCTGTTCTACATTTTTTTAAAACAAAATATCAGTGAAGAGATGTTCCTTTGTCTACCACGGCAATTGTTGATGGTAGAATGAGGAACTGTATATTTTGTCCTCTTTCTTTGTTCGTCATATTCATAGTGTCTAGAAGCCTAATAGAACAAAGGTGGCGCAATCCGTTTTATCAATAGGAGATTTGAACACAATGCGAAGGGTGCAGAGTTCGCGCTTTGTGTTATTACGAGCGTATGGCAAGCCGTTTTAACATTTATGGAACCGCGTTTTCTAAGAAAAAAATACGAACAAGTCTTGTTGCGTTTAGCGTCTGTGCACTTCGGTTGTTTGTACATGGGTATTTGTTCCGAATACAGACAGGCCCTACGTTATCAACAGTGGGTATACTTCTCAAAATATTGGGTCCCATATTTGCAATATATGGGAAGGGGAGGGGTGAAAATATATTCTTATGGGGGAGGGGGAACTGAAAATCATTCTTGGAGGGAAGGCACGTATTGCATTGTATTCTCACACTGCTTGGCATTGCAACTGTTCAGCAAAATGTCACTGTTGAAAATCTTTACTCTTTCTAGCGAAGGCAATGCATGCCCAATCAAAGGGGCATTTAAAGGGATCCGGTAACTTTGTCTCAAATTCTGAAACATAATCCTGGATTTTGCTCATGCTGCAATCATAATTATAAACCTTTAGGTCAGTCAGTAACCCCATGAATTTTACAAGCCGATCGCCTGTCTGATTAACAAGATAGTTATGATTGGAATTACAAATTTTGAAAACCGTTCGCCAAACGGTTTTCATAACATTACAGTCTATTGGTGAAAATGAGTATGGTAAAACCGGTCACTCAGAAATTTTTAATTTTTGGAGGCACTTCTTGATCATTTTGAAGCGCAATTTGTTTAGGGCTTCAATATTACACCATATCACAGACACTGCTAACACGTAGGGCCGTGCAACTCAGATCTAACATTGTTAAACGATGCCTTTAATGGGCAATGCATTAACATCCATAAATTCTTATCAATGCAAATCAACCTTTTTGCCTAAATAGCAAATAGATATAGACTTACATGGTTACATGTATTAATGCTAAAATACGTATAGAACACTGGGTAAACAGTTAATGTCAACACTCACTCTTCTTGTGCTTTGTTTCTCTCAAAAAGGCGCTTAATAAATGCAACATTATTATATTATTGATATCGAAATGGTCATAGCACTTATAATTAAGTACGTAAATTCCACGTTGATACAGATTAACGATATAGGAGTTGAGATTTTCATCCCGACGTAATACATGTGTTTAATACATGTGTCTGAAATAATTATATTTGTTTAATTGGGAGGTGGGAGAATCATGCGTAAAACCACTCTTGGTAAAACATGTGCTCCCATCGATAATGTAATTCTATATTGAATTTTCTTTGTAAAAAGAATTACATTGTATATTTCCAATTGATAATGTAATTTCATATTGAATTTTCATAGTAGAAAGGATTACATTAAATTTTTCCCAGCATCCATAACATTTTTCAATACGATGGACATCCAAATCGTATTTTAATCAACTACGATTCATTTTTGATTTTAGAATTAAATCATATTGATTAGCAGGTTGGTAGCAATAAATGTAGCGTTCCATTAAAGGAATAGTAGTGTGTAACTGAATACGTGATATTTTGAAATACATATTAGTTATACAGTAAATTGTATCAAACCTAAAGTATTCGTATCAAATGAATACATACCCGCTTTTTATTTTCAAATGTTTCACTTTCAATGACATTGTACACAATTATACCATGGATGGTCATACATAATTATACTACTGTTAACAATTATACCGAGAATCATGATTCAACATACGCTAACAGCCTATAGTGCATCCTCTAATAACTCACATATCCCTGCTCTAACATTCACATTTTAAATTCACAATTAAGGAGTCACAGTCACTGATCACTGAATCTCTGACCGCTAGGGTATAATAAAATATAAATAAACACCATCTTACATGTCAAATTGTTTCTTTATGGGCCTCCACTCAGCGTAATGATAATTCTTACCATTCGCACGTCCACTACGTAGCATACACAACACTCTAAATGAAAAGCGTGACCTTCGAGATGTGGCTTCTACAAGTACAATCGCACATTAAAGGGGAAGTCCACCCGGCAATTTTCTTGGTTCTGATAAAAGCAGAAAAATGAGAGAGACAAGTTAGTGAAAGTTTGAGAAATATATACAGTTATCATCAAGGAAACACAATTTGGCAACACTGTGACGTATCTTCCGAGCTCCTCTCCAAATTGCTCTGTCCATAACATTTCATAAACTGTCATTTTCGTAGTTATAGATAACAGAATAGATTTGTTTCACGCAGGGGTTGTATAAAACTTATTTACAATAGTTATATTTAGGGTGGATGTATGATTCATCGCACCTTCAAAAACTCTTTACTTTCTTATTTTCAATCGGTTTTTGCTCAAACTTTCACTAATCTGTTTCTCTGTTTCTGTTTCGAGTTAAACCAACTCAATATCAGGGTGAAATTCTCCTTCAAATGTTCATGAGGATAATATATTTTTCAGAAACACATCCAAATACAGAATGTGCTTAAATTATAAATTTGTTTTTACTTCTTTATACTAACTTTATCTTGTGTCTTTCTAATGCATTACAAACAGGAACGCAGGAATTTGGAATAATAAACGAGCTAGAGTCGTAATGTAAGTGTATTGGTATTACGAAAGATTTTTTGTTACAGGCGAAAGTGCTTTAATCAGTATTTGCTCAAACTTTCACGGACCGGTTTCTCTACTTGTTCTGCTTCTATTAAAACAAACTTGACATCAGGGTGGACTTCGCCCTTAATATTGAAAGAATCTTGATTCATGTCCTCACGATATAATAGTATTTGCACGCACTTTTGTATGCCCAACTCAAGTACTGCATTTCTTTTATGTGATTCTCAACGAGCTTCGTTCAATCCCGGTGGCTGCCTATGCCTGTACAGTGTACATAGTAGTGTATTCACAGGCCATGTTTGCAGTCTTATGTGTTACGATTTTAGGTTTTAACTACTGTTGTTCAATCTAAGGATTCCTTTTGAACAGCACCTCATTTCACCATGTGTTAGGTGTCATATGAAAGAAAATTACATTTCCTTTAAGATGATACCTCATTCAATAGGTTTTGGGATGATTCGCAGAATTCTTTTGAGTCAATAATGTGATTTTTTTACCATTTTTTCCAAAAATGTGAATTGTGCCAAACTACATATTTCTCCATATTTAATCGATTATGATGCTACATGTAATCGCTTAGCTTACGTTGCTATGGTAATAATATGCCTAGCAACCGATATATAATGTGTTATCAGAGTCAAATTTGGATATAGGTCAAATAATACATAACATAAGACCTGTTCCAAGTGACAGACATAATTTGCCGTCTTAAACATTTTCATAGTGCATGGTGTGGTTCAGAATGTACACCCTACCCCTTCTCTCCATTGAACCCCCCCCCTCATCAAAATTAGTTTTGGGATGGCCCGGGGTGGGGGGGGGGGGCAGTATGTTACGTAAGACATGATGTGTGTTCAGAAATGATGCAGGCTATCTGTCAAGTGACACATCAAAATGAGTTCTGGATCCATGTGATAGTCATGATTTTCAGTCTGAATCATGAAGACAATGGATGGAGGTGTTCAGAATGTGCACCATTTCCACCTCTGGGACCCTCCCCCTCTTCTATAACAAAATTAGAGCAATTTGTTTATTAAAGCTATATGCATTGTACATTGTAATCGAAATATTGGTCTAGTATTTTGTTCTCTCCAAGGAATCTTCACAATGCATTTAACATTTAATGGTTAAAACTGCATTGGAAAATTTGTCAATTTCTTGCAACCCCCCCCCCCCCCCTGCCTCGAGAATTTGACCCTAATTATCTATTTTGTACAATAAATTCATTAACCTGCTAAGTGTATGATGATTAGAGACATGGATTCAAAATATAGATTCTTAAAGGTTGGAATCAAATCAAATAATGAGTTGAAGTGGGGGCAGGGGGCGGGGGGGGGGGTGCAGCTCCCCTGCCCATTTTGAACTTGTCTATATATATTGGGCAATTGGGCTCTTCTTGAAAGTCAGCCATAATTGTATAAATTTAGACAATTTCTTAACCTAATCAGAAGTAATGAAGTAAAATTGTCATTTTTGTAAACATGCAATAGTTGTATATCAGAAGATTTTAATAAAATTAGACTGAAATTATTCTAATTGAGGGTGACGTCGGCTGCGTATGCTAGGTTCGAATACATGTACAAGAAATAATAGGATATTTGTGTGATTGTAAAGTGAATGCGCGCGGTGGGTGAGGAGGGGGGGGGGGCGTCGTGATGCCCTGTTTTGGATCTTGAGTACGGTTAGATCATCACGTGTCGTGCGTTATCATATAACAGACCAGTTCGTAGATACAATCTGCGCACGCGCAGATAAAGGTCACTTGTACAAAATTGCAAAACCCACAGAGACTAAAAATGGATACATGCTCACGAGAGTTATGTAATCATTAATCATGCATGAACCTGTGATACATTATATTGAACACAGGTGGAAGTAATCCTTTCAAGAGGGCAAACAAAGAATCACCTCCGTAACTTTAGCTTTGATTATACCAAAAGGCACAAAGTAGGCTTTATCTATATCTATTAGATCTGTGGATATTTGGGGTCAGCTGAATGTGCTAACTACGAACTGGTCTATTATAACATGTCTAATAACTTTTCGGGAGGATAGCCGATTGCCCGCAATCCTTATAATCACACCGCATGATTCAAAGAGCAGATTAAGTTCTGATGAATGTGAAAAACTTTGCACGAAAAATAGGGTATTACAACTGTATTGATGGATTAATCAAATTTACGTCTTGATGTATAAAAACTACATCTTATGTAATTTAGCCCATCCGTTGCAAAGCACAAATATGAGCCAAGGTTTATTTCCATCAATCGAGAGCAAGTTCGCACGATAAAAGAATGCGTACGTAATTGCGCACGAGTTGGGTTTAGAACATCACCAAACCGTAAGCTCGATTTCTAGGCCTTAGACAATTATTGTTTTCAATTAATTATGTTGTCAGCATCTTGCATTGTTCCATCGTTCTTTTTGAGGTAATTAGCGCATTCATGTTTGAAACTGAAAACATTGAGGTGCATCTGAATATCTAAAACCTTTGCATATACCATCAATAAACTGAAATTGTGTCATAAATTCCATATTCAATCTTTTTAGGGCGATTCCTTTTATACTATTACGAATACCGTAAAGTCACCATTTCTTCCCTGCCCCTCTCACGAATATATTCATCTCTCTCTCTCTCTCTCTCTGTCTGTCTCTCTTTCCTGTCTGTCTCTCTCTGTCTTTCTACCTCTTTACTTCGTCCCTCCGTTCCTCCTCCCTCACACACATTGAATTACTCTTCTTTTAAATAGACGCTTCTTTCCGGATCAGATCTGTAGATTCACGTTGACACAAGTTGAACATAATTCGACAATTTTTAGAGATCATGAAACTGCAAACCCTGCAGCACACCCCTCCCCAAAAGTGAGTTAACATATTAGAATTCACAATAAATTAAGGAATCAACAGTCTATTAGTAAGATGTTTATATATTTCTATCAAAATGTAATTCAGAAAAATATACAAAAGAAAGAGGACATCATTGCATATGATATATTGACCATGACAAATGTTTATATCTGTTTCCAAAGTTTAAATTTTCTCTGGACACTTCATTAGCTTTGTTCATGTCAAGCAATATAAAACAATACCCGCTTTTTGTACACTTCTGCTGACCTACTTACATTTTTCTTATATTTAAAATTGAAAAGATTTATCCTAAGAAAGACTAATAACATAATTTTGAAATATGTAGTGAGACATTATTAGTGAGCTTTTCTCAAGTTTTTTATGTTGTTTTTGTTATATCACCTAATTATGAAATAACCTCACACCCAATTTAACAGAACCATTTTTAACGCCAATTTCGTGCATCCGTTTAAGTTGTCTCGATATTCTGTGATGATATATATATGTACAACAAAACCAAAGCCGGTGAAGTAAGAAAAAAAAAAAAAAAAAAAAAAAAAAAAGAAGAAAGAAAGATAGAAAGTTAAAAGAAAAGATAGAAAGAAAGAAAGACAGAAAGATAAAGAGAAGGGAGTTAAAAAGTAATTGTCGATTGGGTAATTATAAGGAAGAAAAATGTCGCCTGATGATGAATAGGCCTAAAATATTTTATATAATATATTTTAACGCATTGTATTTGGTTTAAAAAAATAACATTAAATCTGCAATGGCATATTTGTATGCAAGACTCCGTTTAAAGCCCTATTTCCTTTTATACATAAAGTTGGCATCAAATTGGAGATTAATTCACTGTATTAATGTAAAAAAAACTCACACATTGGCACCCATGCTATAAAATAGAGATTTTCACTGGCAATGTTAGTACCTAAAGCGTTGAAAAACTGTTGTTCGTGTTTTCGCAAGTGAATTTGGTTGAAATCCCCTTTCATTGAACAGTTTTAATAGAAAACAACTTAAACACAACATCTAAAAAAATTTAAAGGACGATTAAACATATCGCAGCTATGACCTGATTAGAGTTTAAAGGATGTACGACAATGATATTACTGCTTTGAAGCTGGCCCAAGGTTCGCTTCCAACCATTCACGTGCTTCATGGGTCATCAGGCGTGAAGGGTCCTGCATCTGATCTATGATACTTTTACCGAAATACACGATCTTCCCATCACGGATAAATATCACCCGATCTGGGTGCGCTTTGAACATCCTGGAGAAGAGGTTGTCCATCTGATCAACGACGAGGCGGAACTTGGAAGAATCACTGACGTCATCAGTCATGCAATCATGTGACTCGGCATCTATCTTGAGAAGATCTCTGAAAACATAAAACACACGTATCCATGCACATTTAATTCTTTCAGGATATGATCACTAAATAACAGATCTATGATATGGAAGAAACAATTGGGCTATACTTATAACAATCAGTGTGAAATCTAGGCACACGTAAACTAAGTTAATGATGCTAATGATGCAATGAGAAGTCATATAAGACTAGAACTATTTCAAGAGCCAAATGTTACAAATATGTATTGAATACATTGGTTTTGAACTTGACCACTTTGTCAACTTAAGACTTTTACCGTATAGTTGCTAGTTGAAATTGCAACCGTGATATGTGTGTTTTGGTTGAGGCACCATAAGTGGAACAGATGGTCTGCTCTTACACTTCCATATGGTATATCAAAACTTGTTTCTGCCCTGAAACAAAAGTTATTGAGCCAAATCGTAATATGTTGGTGATCATCTCGAAAGGGTAAAAACAAACGCTCTGTACCAGTCCATAAAACCCAATCGTAAAGCCCCATTGCACTACGTGTAGCTATATCAAATATAATGATGCTCTTAGTCCTCAAGTCAATGTTAATATAGCTTCCTCACGTACTTAGCTGCATCAATCCTCTCTTGAAGAGACTTGTGACGTTTCATGTAGCTGACATTTGTCCCCAGAGGCCACACTCCATTGGCGTGAGCTTCGGCGAGGTAGACGGCTAGGAAATCGACCTGGGTTCGGTAGTCGCGAACAATACCTGCAAGCGTACCACCTACTACACAGGCCTATACGGAGACAAGATTGAAAACAATTTCATATGGAGACAAATAAAAGTGAATAAGTTTACAAATTCAACATTACCGGTATGAAAGAAAAAGAACAGGCACAATATGAAGTGGAGGAGGAGGGGGGGGGGGGGTGGGCAGGATGAGAGGAGGAGGAGGGATAGAAGGAGGAGAGGGAGGAGGAGGAGGGAAAGACTGAGGATGGGGAAGTAAGAGGGGGGAGAAGAAAACGACAAAGAAGAAGAAAAGAAGAAAAAGAAAAGAGGAAGGAGAAGAAGACGAAGGATGGAAATTAGTTACCATTACCATAAGGCTTATGGTAATGGTAACTAATTTCCATAAATAGAAAAACCCCAACAGTTGTGAAATATTGTTCCAACACAAAAATCTTGATCTTCTCACCCTAAGCGGAGGTCAGGAAGCCGATGAAGCCAGGATCATCATAATTCTGTCCTTGTTGATATGGAGATCCGAAAGACCTACGGTCTTACCGGCCAGGGAGACCAGATTGAGGTTCGGCATTTCACTACCAATGTCAACCACGCTAGGTGGCGGTATACCGACATCAGGATCCTGAACATACGCCCCCAATTTCAACACCTAACGTGGAAGACAAGAGAAACCATGATAATTATGTGAACATAGCCAACTACTAGCGTACTAATGTGCAAAGGTTTTAGTGCTTGGGCTGCTATCTAACATATACTGGAGTCCTTTCCCCTTTTTTGCTAAGCCCCCTCAATTTATTTTGGCTCATTACGCCAGTGTAGAGAACCATTACATGACCACTCTCCTGTACTAATTTAATGAATATGAGATCGGATTTTCAGCCCTTATTACAATAATTATCTTGGAGGACAATAATTCATCTAAAGATCTTAATTCATCTTAAGATAAGAAAACAAAAAATATTTATTTTATACACTCCTAGAAGGACTAAAACCAGGGTTATTAGACTGTAAAAAAAGAATTTGTTTATTGGTAATTTTTACGTATTTTTTCCATGTAGAATTTACTTGAAAACATTAGTTTTGCCACTTACGCACTAAATTTAGGTCTTGCTAACTCAAACTTTCAATTTAGTAGAACATACGTGGAATATTTAAGTAAAATCAAATACATAAGAACTTTAAGTAATTTCAGCTTGTATTAATTTAGTAATTTTAACTCAAAATCAGAAATTATACGTATTACTCAAACAATTTATGTTGATTATTCTTATCTTTTTAAAGTAAGGACCGATGCAGTGCGTAATAGATATATTTACATAATTAATGAATATTCATTAAGACCAAATTAAACTCTTTTTTAAATAAAACAATTCTTTTTTGTGGTTGAATGAAAATTTAAGGACTTTAAAACATCTACTAATTCATTTAACATGGCTAAGCAAAGACAAGACAATTTTTAATTGTTACCCAGTTCAAAACAAATCAAAACTTGATATTTCAGGAAATTGTCTACCAATTTTCCTTTTAAGATGCTACGATCAAGTATATATAAAATTTGGAGCCTTTCAATATGTGTCGAATTGAAGCGTATGTAATAGTTTGTGATGGTGGTAGATATATATATATATATACGGTTAAATCTTAAATAGAAGTAGTGAATGATTAGTGGATGTTACTTGTTAGATTAGATGGGTACCGAATCGTGCAATATGTAATCCTATCATAGCTTTTTTTTAATTATCTAAAATGATTACAATACTTAAATTATTTACGTTAATGTAACTCGATTTGAGTAAAAATGTATTCAGCAAAATAAGTAAATTCTACTTAAGATGCCGTAGGTAATATTTACTTAATGAAAATAAGGCAATTCTTTTCCTCAATTTTATTGAGTTATTTCGACTATTATTTTTTTACAGTGTAGACTCGTTCTTCTTGACAGATCCCCTTCATCACACCCCCCCCCCCCCTCCTCGAGCTCTTCAGGATGCCAGCCCGGATGTGAACCCCGTACGAGGCCAGCTGAGTGTAACGATGATTATGGTGTTGGCGTGCGTGTTTTGTTAGTATGTTTGTGAGTGTATCGAATATAGTTTTGCCAATTGATCATATAAAGTTAGCCACTTTGTAGTTAAAGCAGTCCTTCAATTTTCATAGCTGCATTGCAAAATTAACAAGGTATATTTCCATCAACTTATTTGAAAAAAATATTTCCGAACGATCCTTGAAAAAGTAATACCTTTTTACTCGTCATTTTTATTTATAGATATAGGTCGTACAGTCTTTCGTAAATCAACCTGGAGTTGGGCAAATTCATTATCATTGTGAGCCTTCTATTCAAATGTGCAAAAACAAAAAAGACGTGATCTGAACATGTCTTTAAAAGGAAATACAATAGCGTATTGAAATTACCATTAAGTTTATTTCTTGAAAGTCTTTTCGATCGTGTTAAATAAAATTTACCTCTGGGCAATCATGGTATGCTATGAACATTAAGGGGAGAATGTCTGTGATCTTGCCAGGTCCAAACATTGGTTTCAAGTGATCAAATCCACAGCGTTCCAATGCTAGATAGCTTGCATCTAGCCAAACACTCTGGGCAGAAAAATAAGGAGAGAAAAGTATAAGCGAAATAAATTTGCAGGGTACTTTATAAGCCAAATTACAGCAGAAACGGGTTTATATAAACTAGTGATTTTAAACATGCCATTTCTTGAAATATTTGCAGGAGTCTAGAACAAAGTAGGGATGCAATTAAAATCAGCAATGATATACTTAACTGGCTAAGAAAGGCTAATAAATTCATTAGTTTTCATGTGTGCACAATCAAATTAAAATCTGCCCTATTGTTTCAAAGAGAGTTCTAAACAGTTAGAATGCAGAGTTCTAAAATAATTTGTTACCTTGTCCCATCGCTCCTTCATGATAATTTTCATTTTCATCCATATTTGTATTGTTCAATGAAGTCTCATGTTTTGCTGTGAACCGGTCTGTACATGCCTCTCGATGATAACAATGTATAAATGTATATCCCCAAATAAACTATATTTATCACACAAAGTTTCTACACTTTTCATACATTAAAATCTTCATTTTATGTGGTGTTGATTCTTCCTTCCTTCAGATGTGAAAGATGATAACATAAGGAGAGCATAATGTTTTCACTTGATCAAATACCTGCATTTTTTCGATGACATCTGGCTTAGTAAAGTCCATCCTTTCATTAAACATTTGCTGAATCTCATCCGTGCTGACAATTTCATTGTACTCCTCGAAAACCTTGATGGCCTGCGCTGGTTCACCAAAAACTTTAGGTATATAAGGAAGTTCAGCATGGTCAAAAGATGCTAGGTTTGGTACACCTTCTGCAGACCCTGCAGGGGCGGATCTAGCTTTTTGCTAAGGGGGGGGTTGACCAAAATAATGACGATGCGGAGCATCGTCCACGAGCCGCGAAGCGGCGAGCCGATTTTTTTGGGGGTGTTTATTTGAACCCCGTAAGTGATGTTTTCCTGGCATCTATTAACACAATGGAGACCATAAAAAGCAGTGCATGATAACGTCTTTTTAAATCAAGTAACAGTTAAATACACAGTTATTTCCAGAGTTATCATGTGTTTGGTTAAGTTACCAGATGAGTTGAAAATCTTCTCACAATATTTGCACTTGAAAGGGTTTCTCTCCAGCGTGCGTTCTTTTTTCTTTCTTTTTTTTTCACTTCGGCGGTGGCCCGTGTCCTCAAAAAAGCTGATGGGGGGGGGGGGGGGGGGGGGGCAAGGGACTCTGTGACATTTTGTTCGCCCAACCCCCCCTCCCCCCAAAAAGAAATAATAATAATAATAATAATAATAATAATAATAATAATAATAATAATAAATGAAATAAATACATATAAATAGAATAAAATAAAATTACAAGTTTTAAAAAAAAGATAAGATTTAAAAAAATGGTCCCCGGATTTTTTTTTTTTTGGGGGGGGGGGGTTGCAACCCCCCCCAACCCCCTCTATATATCCGCTTCTGCCCTGTGGGCCCATCAGGGTCCTCCATCTTCAGCTTCCTCAAATTGTAAATCACAAGTACAAACAAATAATATTGTTAGATGATTATATCGCAATCTAAGTTGAAATAATGCTGCTACTGTGTGTAGTTCAGGATTCTGTTGGTATCCAAGCTTTTGCTCGTGTCATTAAAAGCCTAATTTGTTAAAGCCAAGACAGAAGCAAAAGCAACAACAGAAACAGCAAAACAATAAACACACAAACAAACGACAACAGCAGCAGCCGCGCCGCAACAGTCTGGAGTAGTCACTATACAAGTGTAGATATATACATATCACGACAACGTAGCGCAATGCGTTTTATCAACAGGAGATTTAAACACTCTGGGATCAGAGTTCGCGCACTGTGGTAACACGAGACAAGACAAATGAGAGATAAAGACATAGAGAGAAAGAGAAAGAAAGAAAGAGAGAGAGAGAGAGAGAGAGAGAGAGATTGAGAGATATGAATTATGGAAGCGTGTCTTTCAAGAAGAATAGAAATACAAACAAGTCTCGTTGCGTTTAAGGTTTGTGCACGTCGGTTGTTTGTACTTGTTCCAAATACACACAGGCCATATAATATCGAACAGGGTGTATACTTCTCAAGTGGTTGGGGGTGGAAGTTTGTCCAACACTTGCAATATAAGGGAGGGGGTTGGTGAAAATCTATTCTCGTGGGGGGGGGGGGTGGCAACTGAAAATTAATCTCGGAGGGAAGGTGCGTATTGTATTCTCACTTTGCATTGTATTGCAATATTTCAGCAACATCTTGGTTGTTGACATTCCTTACTCTTTCTAGCGAAGTCAATGTATTCACAATCAAAGGGGCCAAAAACAGAAGCAAAACATCGAAGAGCAAGGACAAGTGCATCAGAAATAGGAGGAAGAGACGATACTAACCAGGAGATCCCAAATAAAAGTTTATTGGAAAGTGAATGCACAACCCGCACTTCACTTAGATATTCCGATGCCTGGAGTTCCATTAGCAGTCTAAGTGATTTCTCAGCAGGGCTTGATAATACTGCAAACATGGTAGAGGGGATTGTACTCCAGGCAGCACTTGACGGGGAGTAACAAAATAAAACGCAGAAGAGAGAAAGGGAAACGGGAGACAAATTCTAAATGGGCAAGGGTATATTCCCTCCCGGCCTAGTCAGTCTGCCCCTTTTAAATGGCACCATCTATAACAGCATTTTTCAACCAAGGTGCCACGAGAATGTAACCTCATCTGGAAATGTTTACCTCAAGAAAGTGTTATTTCCCCCATCGTTCACTTCACTTCTTCAAAATTGATAAATTAGTATGATTTCTGGAAACGAGATTACCGAATGTATGATTTAATTTTGTCAGGTGTATATTGAATAAAAAAAATTGCATATATTAGTTGTTGCTAAGTAGGACAAACATTATAGCTTGTTCTACCTAACAACATTTAATGTATTCAATTCGTATTCTGACTAGTGAAATACAATTATTTGTAACAGGTGAATAAAATAATTCGTAACGAGGCACTTAACAACGATTTGTGCAATAAATCTGATTACAATACGAAAATGGTCTATTGCACTCCATGAGCAACATATCTGTTTGCTAATGTAACTCTTCCTAACCATTTCATTCACATGCTATGAATAATGGCACCTCTATGGATGGAATCCACTTTGCATATTAGTTGCTGTTATGTCGGGAAAGCCTCTAGCGAGGTCATTAATTGACAAGAGATACTTTTCCTAAAAGCGAATACATAACATTAGTAAACGGGTCTTATACTAAAGCTCTTACCCATTTATATTGATAACCATTTAGGTAATTTAAACAAATTTATGCATATACCTTTGTGAAGCGCTTTGACACGAATTATTTCATTCACCTGCTACGAATCTCATTAGTCCGAATTCAAATTGCATAAAATAGTTATGTCTAGAAAGGACACAAACTATGGCTTGCCGTACCTAACAACAGGTAATAGATGCAATCTTTCATTCTGGCTATTGTAATACAATTATTCGTAACAGGTGAATCAAATAATTCGTATTGAAGCTTGCGTCGAGACTTTACCAAAACATAAAAGATGCCTTATTTTCAAACGCTTGCGGCTGGTTTACCATGCCTTGTAAGAGTGAAAGAGCCAAAGAAAAATTACATTTTTTGGGGAAAATTATACCAAACAGCTCGATTTGAATCCTAATATGCAAAGAAACTATATCAAAAATGAAAACAAGTCAACCCTAGACAATTTTATGCTTGACCATTTATCTTTTGTTAATTCACTTCAGACTGTACAAAATCTATTTGTTTTTGTCTCCAAAATGTTTATGGTACCTCATAGGCTTTCTTACGGAGCCCGGGAAGGGACATGGTAAAAATATTTTTATCTCGTTAAAACGAGATAGTATCTCGTTTTAATGAGATAGTATCTCGTTTTAATGAGATAGTATCTCGTTTTAATGAGATAGTATCTCGTTTTAATGAGATAGTATCTCGTTTTAAATGAGATAGTATCTCGTTAAAACGACATAGTATCTCGTTAAAACGAGATAGTTATCTCGTTTTAATGAGATAGTATCTCGTTTTAATGAGATAGTATCTCGTTTTAATGAGATAGTATCTCGTTTTAATGAGATAGTATCTCGTTTTAATGAGATAGTATCTCGTTTTAATGAGATAGTATCTCGTTTTAATGAGATAGTATCTCGTTTTAATGAGATAGTATCTCGTTTTAATGAGATAGTATCTCGTTTTAATGAGATAGTATCTCGTTTTAATGAGATAGTATCTCGTTTTAATGAGATAGTATCTCGTTTTAATGAGATAGTATCTCGTTTTAATGAGATAGTATCTCGTTTTAATGAGATAGTATCTCGTATAAGTCCATTGCATACTGGAACCGGGTGGTCCCTGTATTAAGCGGTTCTAGGACAATTACCCCCTGGGCAATCACCCCCCGGCAATTTACCCCCCGGAAAACTACCCCCGAAGGACAATTACCCCCCGGAAAATTACCCCCCGGAGAATAACCACCCGAGGACAACTACCCCCCAAGGACAATAACCCCCCGGAAAATTACCCCCCGGAGAATTACCCCCCGAGGACAACTACCCCCCGAGGACAATTACCCCCCGGAAAATTACCCCCCGGACAACTACCCCCCGAGGACAACTACCCCCGAGGACAATTACCCCCCGAGGACAACTTCCCCCGAGGACAATTACCCCCCGAGGACAACTATCCCCGTGGACAATCAGGATTCAATAGCAAAAGACGATCTGATACATTGAGAGATGGCTACGAGCCTATAAGACCCCCTTCATGAACCCATATTCGCTCAAATACTAGCACGTTGTCTTCCTCGTTACTAAACATTTCCCTTTAATACATATAAGTTATACAACGGCAGTGCGGCTGCTGATTTCCACGAAGGATGTAAGTTTTAGGTAATTGTCAAGCGCTTCTCAAAATGCATAGAAATACATTTCTCTTGAGCAGCGTTATTTCAACTTTTTGAGTCATGGTACCCTCTTAAAAAATGAAAAGTTTCTCCCAAATCCCAAATTCTTCACAGACTATCTATTTTGCATGACCCAGGCACTCGCCAAGTGCTATGTTCATGGGTGTCGATCCCGGGGGGGGGGGGATGGGGGGATATATCCCCCCAAAAAAATATTTCAGGTGGGGGGGGGGGGGGGGGGGGGCCTGTCCAATCATCCCCCCCCCCAACAATTCACCATAAAAAAAAAATGAAGAGAAACATTAATGATGAGAGCCCGATGAGAGTAGTTAATGGTTATTACTCGCAAGATGACCATCAGTATACACATTTTGCAATCTCATTTTCATAATACATACGTAAATGAGACATCCGTATATGAAACAAGAATAAATTGAATTCTCGCTCATACGGCTTCATCAGGAATTGATCAATTTATTCAATCAACAGCATCATAGAAATGCAGTGCGCCAAATGCAAAGCCGCAGCGTTAAAAAGCAACGAGCTAAATATCAAGCGCGAAGCGCAAAAGTGCAAAAAAGAAGTAGAGAGTGGGAGAGACAGAGAGGATACAGGCGCGTATACAGGCGCGCGTAAAAAACGCCGGCCAAAAAAAGAGAGAGAGAGAGAAAGAAAAAAGGAAGAGGACGTAGGAAGAAAAAAGATTAAGAGTCAAGAACGGTACAACGAATCGTCATCTTTCTCTTATAATGTAATGAAACGTCGAAGTTTCGCGCGGGAGGGGGGGGGGGGGGTTGGGGAACTGAATTTAGACAAGGATTAAGAGTCGAGAATGGTACAACAAATCGTCTTCTTTCTTTATTAACTTAATGAAACGTCAAAGCTTTCGCGCTTCGCGCGGGAGGGGGGGGGGGGAACTGAAATCAGACAAGGATTAAGAGTCGAGAATGGTACAACGAATCGTTCTTCTTTCTTTATCAATTTAATGAAATGTCAGAGCTTCCGCGCTAAACGCGCGGAGGAAGGGGAACTTTATTCAAACAAGGATTAAGAGTCGAAAACGGTACAACGAATCGTCTTCTTTCTCTAATAATTTAATTAAAGGTCAAAAGAAATTGAATTTAGACAAGGATTAAGAGTCGAGAACGGTACAACGAATCGTCTTCTTTCTCTAATAATTAAATGAAACTTCAAAGCTTCCGCGCTTCGCGTGGGACGGGGAAACCCCCCCTCCCTGCAGCCACCCCCTTTAGGGAGCGCGCTTCGCGTGCTCACTACCGCCCCCTAAAATAAAATCCTTGCTACGGCGCTTGAGAGGATAATAAACCAAGTTGCAAGCCCACATGGGTCCCATATTCTCTGAAATGTTATCTTTATTGAGGGTGACTTGAAAAAATTAATAACTTGTAAGGGAGGGGGTGCAACCTGCCACACACTTCTTCTACCTCTCGGTTGCTTTTATTCCATTGCCGAAATTATTTTGGGCACCTATCACCCACCCCCCCCCCCCAACCACGGATAAAAATCGACACCGTTGTGACCAACAATGACGGTCGCATA